TGAATTTTATAATTAGTTTACCACTCGTAGTTACCGATTTTTATACGTGAGATGAAAATGCACCATGGTGATAGAATATTATAGAAATAATATGAGATGAACAATAAAAAAAAACACAACACATCGACAACAACATTCTTTCGATCAATATGAATATAAAAAAATAAAAATYTATTACCAAGACGTTCGGTATGGTTGATTTCATGACTTCCCGACCCCGAACTCGGATTGTCTTCATAAACCTTTGTAATCTCCACGTTCTTATCAATTTCTTTTCATTTACGTTTATCCATATTAGCTTGATCAACGTCGAATATCATTACTACCGTGTTTCTTGTTTGATTTAAAACTCATACAAAAGTGAACATGAAATATAAATACTAAAAACAAAGATATTAATTAAATGAATGATATTTTTTGGGATATGATTTTTTTCCTACAATAATGAATATGTAAGTCGAATGATTAAAAATARATATATTAATTAAATAAATGATTATTTATTGGGATATGCTTTTTTGTAACCCCCCATTAATTGTTTGGGGGTTACATAGATAACCAAATGACTAAACTACCCTTGGAAGTAAAGATTGGACAATACATCAACCTACAACAATGAAGGAATTTGATTTGTTGAGATAGGTGAACAAAGTTAACACAAAATGAATGGTTATCATTTGATCTTGGCCCTATATATATATATATATATATATATATATATATATATATAAGGAAGTGTTCAAATAAAAATCACCCAATTTGTATAAACCGTGAAAATCACATTCAATCAATCATAATTTTTAATTTCGTTCAATTTTTTTTAATTATGAGAGGTTGATTAACCATTTTTATTGTGGATAGTGTTAATCATGGATATTATCGTTTTCATTATTTTAATTTTAGAGAAATACATGAAGCAGTTTCATTAAAATTTCATTAAATATTATATGAAACAATTTCATAACCATATATAAAACAAATTCATCAAAAAAAGTATTATATGAAACAATTTCACAAGATTAAACAATTTCATGAAAAAATTTCATAAGATTAAACAATGAAATGAACATATGAGGGTGGTTTGTACGGTTTATACAAATGAAGGCGGTTTTCATTTGAACGTTCCCCCTCTCTCTCTCTCTCTCTCTCTCTCTCTTTATATATATATATATATATATATAGAGGGTGGTTCAAATACTAACCCAATATTTTGTGCAAACTTTGCTAACCCACATCAACCAATAATGTTGCATCTTTAGGTTTGGTT